TTTTTTTTTTATGAACGCTGAACTGTGCGCAAAGGCAAAATAATTTGATGAATTCTCGGCCAAAACTCATCTCTCATTGAATGCCCATTTTATGCATGCATGCATTTTGAAAATATACTCATTTACCAGATATTTTTACAGCTCAAACAAGCCCTCAACTGCGTGTGTGTATGTTTAGGGCTAGTTCAACTTAATTGCCTGCACGATATTTGTCTTTCATTTTATGATACTGCAGCATGCGAGTATTTTTAATGAATTGCCACAGTCGGAACTGCAGCTGCAGCTGGAGCTGGAGCTAGAGTCACGGCCCCAGACAATTGGGCAATATGCAAAAAATTTGTTGAGATTTTTGCCATGCAAGCGACCATTATTTATGCATGACAATTTGAGGATGTCCTGGAGGGCAGGGCATGCGACGAATGACGACGAGTGCTCTTAGAGTTCAGGTATCGGCCATCAATAATGCAGTTACGACTCTCAGGAAGTTGTAAAATGAAATTGAAAATAATTTGGCCAGAGCAAGTGCAGCAATGCATAATGCATAAGAAATTTCCATGCCTAGGCACGGCAGGCACGGGCCACAGTCAACAATCATTTCACAATATGAAATTAATCTTAACTTCAAAGAAAATTCAATGCAAAAGAGCAGAGCTTTGAGCCCGCATCCTTCCTGAATGGACCATATTTTCTGTTAACTATGCAAGCTCGTTAGGAAAGAGCCCAGTTTTATTTTCTACACGAAGTTCAAGACTCGAAAGCTCAGCGTGAGGCAATATTAAATTAATCTTAGCTAAAACAAAATTAATGTAGTGAGCCACGAGCCAACAATCTTTATTCTTATTGCCCGAATGGCTCAGCCTTTCTACAAGCTTTCGAAGCTCATTAAAGCTTTAAGCGAAGTTCAAAAGAAAAAGCCATGCTCTACTTTTATATAAAGTTCAAAGCTTGAAAGCTCAACTTGGGACCATATGAAACTAATCTTAACTAAAAGAAAAATCAGTGTAAAAGATGAGAGTTTGAAGCCAGCAACCTTTCTTACTGCCCAAAGGGGTCTCGTCTTCTGTAAGCTTTGCTCATTAAAGCTTCAAGTGATATCAAATAAAAAGAGTGCAGCTTGAAAACTCAGCTTGAGGATGTCAGCTAGTGTCATTTCAGCACAACCGCCACGTCCATCAAACTGAGAACGCAGAGAAAAAGGGTAAAGGGTAAAGACTATGAGGACGTCGCTTTAACTGTGTAAATGAGTTAACCGCAAAATGTCAGTGTTCAGCTAGTGCTCCTCTGTGCTGCTCTCCCCTTTGCTTGGCAGTTACCGCCTAAAAGCCACAGACACGCACAGCGAGTGGCGTGAGAAGTGGGAAAATATGTGGGCGGGAGCGGAGAGTGCAAATAAAATCAATCAATTTGTAGCGTCTAAGTGCACAGTGACACTGAAATCTATTTGCCAGAGTGTTGAGAAGAGTTCCCAGAGGTGGAGAAAGTGCCAGAGAAAGGGAGAGAGAGAGAGGGAGAAAGGGAGGGGGAAAGCAGCAGAGAAGAGCGAGAGAATACGTCTTAATAAGTTGTATGTGGTTGGAGGTTGAAATTAGGGGACACATTTAGTGAGTGTTTGTATGTGTGTGTGTGAGTGTGTGTGTGTAATTAATAAACACAACTTACCCCAACAACAACAACCGCAGCAGGAGCCGTCAGCTAAGGCGACACGAGCGAACCGCAGCTCAAGTGTCGATTGATTTAGCAGCTGAGTTTCGGGCGTTCAATTTTTGGACATGTCTCTGCGAGCGATTCCTGATCTAACGAGTATTTCGGGAAATTGTGAAAAGCGCGGGGAAAATTTCGAAGCGGGCAAACATAAAAATCAATCAACACGCGCGCTTAATAGCCGAAGAGGCGGCGGCTCATCAAATGTATCTGCCAGATACGTTTCGAGTGCTTCTGTATATGTATTTGTATCTGTATCTATAGATGCGGCTGTATCTGTATCTGTATCTGTATCTGTATCTGTATCTGTATCTGTATCTATATCTATATCTGTATCTGTATCTATATCTGTATCTGTATCTGTATCTGTATCTGTATCTATATCTGTATCTGTATCTGTATCTGTATCTGTATCTGTATCTGTATCTGTATCTGTATCTGTATCTGTATCTGTATCTGTATCTGTATCTGTATCTGTATCTGTATCTGTATCTGTATCTGTATCTGTATCTGTATCTGTATCTGTATCTGTATCTGTATCTGTAACTGTATCTGTATCTATAGCTCTAGCTGTAGCTTTAGTTCTATCTGTGTATATGCTTGTGTCTGAATCTCTATCTGTATCTTCTATTTGTATCTGTAACTGCGTATATGCTCGCAGATGTATATTGAGTGCTTGCCAAAGACAAATTGCCTTTGTCTCTAATTTTAAAGACAACACTCGTCGCCTGCCTTCGTTTTAGTTTAATTTGTCTATGCCGTGGGAGTCGAAAAGTTTCACACGGTTTTTTTGTTTCGCCTCTTTTTTTCATCTTGTGTATTATGTCTGGCTTTTTCTTTGGGCCAATTGATTGGCGCACGTTTTGCGCGTGGCCAGACGAGCCAAATAGAAGTAGAAAAATGTTTTGTTTTTTTTTTTTATGGATAAAGGAGACAAGCACAACACAAGAAACGCGTCATTTTAATACACTTGCATAATGTTTATTTAAAATGAGAGCAACCTTATAAAGTGTATAAAGTATTTAAGAACATATCGTGCTATATACAAAGATTATATCGGTACGATATTTAAGTATCTCAATCTGTTCGTCAGTCAGTTTTAATGGGTCGAGCTTGAGGCTCGATCTTGATGAATCTTGTCATAGATTAGGAGTATGCCGGATCGAGCTACTATATCATACAGCCACAATTGAAATCTACTTTGTGTAAAGTACATTTTCAAATCTGATTTTCAGCACATTTTCGATTTGTCTGCCAGGGTATTTAAGCTTCCACAATCGCTAAATGTTCGCTCTTATTATTTGTTTTCACATTTAAATATTTCATTTTTTTTCCGATTTTTTTTTGGCTGCTCATCTGCGCTTCAATTTTTATTGAGGCTCTGCTATTGTTGTTGTTGTTGTTGTTAGCCTCAACAGCACTTTGTGGGCGCTTAAAACAGCTGACAGGCCCCGCTGACAGATTGATGAATGTTGCTTTTGCCTTTGCTTTTGCTCTTGCTTTTTGGCTGGCCCTGTTGTTTCAGCCCTCTTGCATTCAGCATATATATATTTGTATATATTTTCTTTTTATTTTAACGGCATTTTCACTTTCGATTTTAATGAAAATATTTTGAAAATGCGCTATTTTCATTTGTGCGACGGCCTCTGGGCCAAGATTTATGGCACCAGCACCCGCAGATATTGACTCGTTGTCGGGGAAGAAGAGAGAGGGAATGGGGAGAGGGGCCTGAGAGAAGTGAATGTTGGCCCGGTTCGATCGGTAGGTTAATTTGTTGGCAGCTAATGCCTGGCGAACGGCCCAGATGCGTTAAATCGTTGACAATTGGGATCAATTTTGGATGGGACTAAAAGATCTTGAGCTGCTGCTGCTTCTTCTCACACATTTTCGGAGCATCCAATTAGCCACTTTCGACATATGTCAAGGGCTTTGCTTCATGTGCAACTGAAGAGCATTAAGAAATACATGAGCGGGGGCGGCGCCTGAGAAGGTCAAGCTCATCTGGGAAACATGTTGAGTTAAGTGGAGTATTAAGCGAAACTCAACAGAGACTCGACCCTGAAAAGCTGAAGAGAGCTTAGCAAGGAATTCAGAAGAGGGTAGAAAAAACAGATCCTAAGATAATCCCCAAAGTGTCGCAGAAAACTGAGAGAAGTTTTCAAAATAATTCATTCTGACTATCCAACCAAATTGTAAATTTTATTCCGATCTCTTTTGTTATTTAATCGTATCTTAAATAAATGAAGAAACTAATTTATCTTTAGATAAACTCTCCTGTTTCTTCCTTATATTTTGTGTTAGTAATTTATTTTATAATTTTATAAAACCTACATAAATAATGAACACCAAAATATGCCCCCAGCTAATCCGCAAAAGTATTGAAGGCTGAAAAAGACAAATTAAAAAAAAAAATAATTGATTCTATATATTTTACTATTATTATCCAATTTGTAAATGTTAATGCCCATTTCTTTTGTATTTTATTCTTAACCCAAATAAATAAAGAAACTAGTTTATCCATAGATAATTTATCTCTTCTTGTCTTCTTCGACACCTTTTTGTGTGTTTATCTAATTGAAATCTGTGCTGGGCATCTTTTACCTAATGTAGATCCAAAGATTTCTGGCTTGGCAATTAAAATGTAAATCAGATCAAACTTTTAATGGCAAAGCTATTGTTTTCTTCTTCTTCATTTTCCTCTTTTTTTATGCCCGAACATTGCTTTTGATATAATGGCAATGGCAGATACAAAATCAGAGAAGGGTTTAAAATTTCTTGGCAAAAATGTGTAAATAATCGAGAAAAACTTGTGGAAAACCCACGCACAAGGGAAAAAGAACAAAAAACAAAAAAACAAATACACAACTGTGGAAAATCTCGCGCGGAAAAATTGGACGCATTTGCTGACCCAAAAAGACAAATGACCGAAAAAAAAAAACAAAACAAAACAACAAAAGGGACAACACTCGCATTGGGGTTACAGGGGGCGGGGCGGGGCGGGCAGCAGGCCTGTGTTTATTTTAATGCAAATATTTGTTTATTTTTGAATGGCAACGCGACGGCATAATTTTTTTTTTCCCATTTTTTTTTTTTTTTTTTTTTTGGGTACTCGCAAGGAATGTAAATTTCTAGGAAACTCTTTTTATAGCCGAGCCATGTTTGCGCCCACATATTGCAGAGTATCCCCAGATTTAATGCCAAAAAAAAAAAAACAAAAAGAAAAACGCGTGTATATTTAATTTAGGTCTTTGCGTATTTGTTTTATGCTAATCTACAGATTTACAGGTGGACACACTTACTTGGAACTCCTTTATTTTGGTTTTTTTGGTGGGGGCAACACAGTTTTTCGGCTTTTCGGCTATTCTCGTTCTTTCTCTTTCTAACGCTGTTTGGCTTTTGGCTTTGATTGGGCCGCAGCAGATCGCAGATAAATGAGCGATTTAAATGCTAATTAATTGTTTGGCACACACGCACAGCACACATGCACACGCGCACGCACGCAAGCACGCACGTGTGGGAGGGAGAGAGAGAGAGAGAGATAATGGCGACACGATTAGACGTGAACGATTTTGTCCCGTTTTTAATCTCGGTTCAATTTATCAGGCAATGCGCTTCACTCGCTTACGCGTTCTTCTTCGTTTTGCTTTGGTTGCGTTTTTCCGATCGGCAGCATCTTTGTTGAATATTTTCGAAATTCAAATTAAACCGTCAAACGGTCGCACGCACACACGCACACACAGTTACACACACAACCGGACACAGCATCACGATGGCACACGGGCCCGAACGAGCAGCTGCAGAGCCGAAACTGTAAATATTTGGGTGGCGCTCAGAGCAGAAGCGGCGACTGGTACTGATAATACAGAGCGTTGCAGCGTCCGTTGCTGGCGGTCCGTTACAATGCACGCGTCGTAAAAGACTGTTTCAGACTGAATCATACAAGTATAAGCACAGGGCAGAGCAGCGCATGCAGCATACAACAGGCCGAAACGAGCACTGTTCGTGCACACGAAGCGCGAGAGCGATTGGACGAAGCGCGGACACGAACGTAGCTTCGGGCAGTTGCAGCGCACGTTTATGCTGCAGACAACAACAACAGTCCCAGTCGCCGAACCGAATGCCGGGGCCAACGAAAACTGCCAGACACGAGCGCGCTGGCGCCATCTAGCGGCTAAACGTGCGCACTGCTGTCTTATACGCTGTTATTGTTCACTTAACAGCACTGTTAGCCAATAGCAACATGTTCCATGACCGACAATGCAACTCACGCATGTTCGATGAGGGGCAGCTAACAGCAAATGCTTTGACTAGGTCGATGTAATTAATTTTCGCTCCCGATGCAGCCGCAACCGTAGTTACAGTAGCTTGTTGCACACACACACACACACACACTTACATCTAATGTGGCCATGTCAATGAAATTGACGGATGGCTCTGTGTGCTAATATTATTGGAGCTGGACTAAGTTTGGGGGTTTTATTTGGAAGCTTTTGGCCTAATTCGTCTGTTCAGCAAAATTCCATATCCCAGCAGAAACATATCTAATCAGGGCTAATAGAACAAGTTATGCTTTAAGAGAGTAGAAGATTCTCGGAAAAACCAAAACAAAAAATATGTTTGCCTCTTTAACTATTTACTAGTTAATCTCTGAGCCTCTTGAAGAGCTGCTAAATCTTAAATGAGCCGTACAAAAAATTCAGAATTTTCTCAAGTAATATATGCATAATAAAATCCGTGAGATAGTTTATCTTTTATTATTATATTGATACCTATATCCAAACAATCAGATTAACTCTTTCCTAATCCTCGGCAACAATTAACACTCAACGGGGGATGGCATTAATCTGTGGTTTTGGCATAAATCTCTCTCTCTCTCTCTCTCTCTCTCTCTCTCTCTCTCTCTCTCTCTCTTACTTAACCTCCCTCCCTCACTCACTCTCTCTCTCTCTCTTTCGCACCGTTTCTTTCGAACGCATGTTGTGATTGGAGGCACGCCCGTAAAACAATTTGCCAGCCTCATAAAAACCCAGGCATAACAAATACAACACTTAATTGTATTAACAGACAGCGGACAGAGCCCAAACCCAGGTCAGGAGCTACCGAATCGATGCAGCAGAAGGGACGCCGACAACGGGTGTTTGCTTTAACAGTTAGGCCAGGCGGACGGACGGGCGGACGGGCGGACGAACAAACAAATAGCCCAAGACAATGCCCACGCGGACAACAATAACCCCGCCCCGCAGGCCCAAAGAGCGTGTCGCCTCGAAGACTCAGACTCAGACTCGAACACGGACTTCGACTCGAACTCGAACTCGGACTCAAAGTCGAAGTCGAGGTCGCATTGATTGATGATTTTATGACATTGTTTACTCAAGTGATGATGAGAAGAGCCAGCGACTCGTCCAGCAGAGATAAAAGGCAAGAGCCTGTAGGACTTTGGAATGCGTGTGTCCTTCTGCCTGGTGCGTGGTGTCGGGTGCCGTTTGCCGTTTGCTGAGATTGCAGGCACATCTTTGGCTTGTTTTTCTCTGGAATGCTATCAATCTTTTGCTTATTAGGGATAATATTACAATTACTTGTAAGTGAGATAAGCCAAAAGACAACAAGAATAACAACAAAGCAGCTGAAGAGGTCGAGCAGCGGAAAGGATAAGTGCTCAAGTGGGCACGCCTTCGCATTGACGCGTTGCTGCTTTGATGTGTGCACCGAGTACTCTGAGTACACTTAGAGAAACAAGCGGGTGCTTTTGTACTCAGATCAAGCACACAAGTGTTTGAGTCAGGTCTTAAAGACCTTCTGCCTGAGAAGTTGTTGAAATACTCAAGTTCAGAGCGTAATTTATGGAGAACCTTAAGATCTACAACCTTCTATTCTTCCAGGACTTCACTATGCTCTTTTTCTCTCAGTGTATCGGCGCTTTGTGTGCTGTAAACACATAGTTTCTTTGACTACACTTAAATCAAATCATGTTGCACTTCAATTTAAAACCTTTTATGTGCCCAAATTGAGAGCGTAATTTATGGAGAACCTTAAGATCTACAACCTTCTACTCTTCCAGGACTTCACTATGCTCTTTTTCGCCCAGTGCATCGGCGCTTTGTGTGCTGTAAACAGACACTCGACTCAGTTACATTCGGCCGAGTCGCAGCTAAGCGTGTCACGCGGATGCCCGCGGATTGATTGACAAATTGACAGGCCGTGGAGATTCGGGTGCGTGGCGCACCTTTCGCTGGAAGCGCCGCGCCTGGAAGAGACTCGCAACTGGAAACACTTCCTGCCCGACAACCTGTTTCAATTTAGTCATAAACTATTAAGGCTACCTCGAGCCAGCAGACGGCAGCCCGCAGCTGAACGAGCCACAGTTAACCGCCAGGAAGCCAGCTGTTCCTGGGCCTAAAGGTCTCTCCGTGTCCCCCCCCCCTCCCCCGTCTCCCCTCCTCCCTATGTCCTTCTGTCCGTGTCCTTTGCTACTGCTGTTTGATGATAAATTAGAGCTCGCCAATGCACTAAAAAACTTCAAAAACGGAAAAGCAGCAACGACATGAGCAGAGCACCGCACACACACACACACACACACAACACACACACACGAACACACAGGTAGCATTTGTGGCATTTACCTTTCTCCTTTTTTTATTGCTTTATTATGAGCTCTCGACTGGGCTCTTTGGGCTCTCCGGGCCGTTTTCTATGCTGGCCAAAAGGCTGACCAAAAGTCCTGACACGCCCATTGTCAACAATTCGTTTTATTCCTCTCATCTGGTTTATTGCTGTTTGTTATTTTGCTTCCAATTGTGCGGCACGCTTCATCCTCCTCGCCAGGGTTAGCTCACTTTTGAAGCATCTGCACAACACATTTGTTCTGCAATTAGTTTGTTAATATTTCTATTAGTACATTGTTAATATTTCTATAAGTATATTAGTAGAATTCATTAGCTCTCAGAATATATATAAATATATATATAGGAATATGTTAAAGTAATATTTACGTCTTTTACATACGTATGCATACTTCCTTTTCACTATATTCCTATATCAATATTTATATATATATATAACGAATTTGGGTATTTGGGCAACTGAACAAAGAAGAAGAAAGAAGATCCGGGCTTAAAACTGAATCTGCAATGGGTAACAATATTATATATATATACGTTTGCCAACTTTCCCAGTTTTTGAAACAAATTATAATCGACAAACTTTAACTATTTCTATATTAATTTATATCTATGTCTAACTATGTCTATATTTATTAATTTTATCTGCATTTGAATATTTTGCATACTTATTAAAATTGTTTATATTTTTTATTATAAATGAAAAAATAATAAAATAATAATATTTTATTACAGATATTCGCTTGGAAAGTTTCTCAGTTTTCTAACAGATTTCGATTGACAAACTTGAACTAAGTATATCTATATGAATCTATATCTATATAACTATGTCTATATATTTTAATTTCTATATATAACTTAAGTATTGTAATTTGTTTAAACATTGCAATCTCTCTACACTCTTCGCCCGCCTTCAGATATTTCTCAGAAACGTGGAAGCTCTTGGTTCTTTGTCGGTGCTTCGAGATGTTTGTTCCTGATAAATGTGTGTGATATGGTCCGGCTCGTAGCGCTGCAATTTCCCATAAACGGGCGTTACAAAATCAATTTGCATGCTTGCGAGGCTTTTGGCAAACCCAAGTCACGGCCCAAAGCTTCGCATGCGGCCAAGCGAAACTGAGACCAGCTGCACGAGGCATGGAGAGGGGGTAGTTGGGAGGGGCAGCGGCCAGCCGATAAGCGCAAATTAGTGGCAAATTAAGCCATCAATTGCTGCAGCTGTTTATATTTTGGGGCACAGTCCGGCTACCCCGTACGCCTTGCCCCCATAACTCCGGGCAAAACCTCAACCGCATTTGACAGACGTGCACTCAACACTTTCGCCAGCTGACAGTTACACTAATAACGACCAGCCAGCCCCCCCCCCCCCCCTGCTGCTGCTCCCCACATGCCAAGGGCCTAAACAAACAGGGTCGGCGTCCTGCCCGAGTCCTGCCTGGCATACGCTTATCAGTTTTCAATCACATTTGAAACACATTGGTATTTGTGTGCCCATAAATCAACAGGGGAACCTTAATCCTCCGGATCGTGTTCGGCTACGGTTGCAGCGTCAAGGAGACGCACACACTCACACACACACGCACACGCACACACCAATCGCAAAGTCACCTTCAAATAGATAAACATTGACAGCTTGACATATGTAGAATTCGCCTGCCATTGTCTAGAGCGAGGGCCTGTGCACCTTTTGCAGTGTGCGGGCCGGGGGCGAGGGGAAACGTATGTTTAATTTTTATTTTGCGGCTGCCGCGTTGAGTGATAAGCGCGAGCTTTGACTGTGCACTGCTAAAGCATGACTAAAACAAATGGCTGCCAGCCTTCCCTCCCCTCGATATTTATTCCTCGCCTTCTTTTTATCCAATTTGGGATACGAGGCACGTTTCTGCCTTGGCTATAAAAACAATTAGGGTTCAAGGTCCCACAGCTAAACGATATATGTTTCCACACAGTTAAACCGCTTAAAGCCACAAAATCTAGTTACAACAAATAAGTGTATATAGTTCATATTATTGATATGGCATTAAAATTCAAACTCTGCTAGCTTTTGTTACCGAAATTCCGATTTCAAAATTGGCTTAAAATCCTGGCATATATAAAACAACAACACGAAAAGGAATGTGCCAAAAATCCCACATCAAATCAAGAGCAATATTTTAAAAACCAAGCCAAACAAATAATTCGGATGTTGTAAAATTTAAATGCAAAGCTTATCGTGCATAAATTATTGCACAAAAACTGAAATGAA